TACTGACCCCCCCAACCGGCCCCACTTATCCCCCGGACCCCTCCCCCACAGCTCTCTCACCCCCCCGTAGCCCCCCTTACAGCCAGTAACCCCCACGGCTCCCCCCTGGGCAGTGGCAGTGGGGGAGAGGCAGAGCCAGGCAGGGGTTTAAGACTCGGCTGGGTGGCGCGTGGGGAGGACGAGGTGGAGGAGACGCAAGTGTGAGGCTTTGGCTACACCGGCGCTGTACAGCGCTGCAACTTTCTCGCTCAGGGGTGTGAAAAAACGCCCCCCTGAGCACAGCAAGTTACAGTGCTGTAAAGCGCCCGTGTAAACAGCGCCCCAGCGCTGGGAGCTACGCCCCTCGGGGAGGTGGAGTACCTGCAGTGCTGGGAGCTAATCCCCTCGGGGAGGTGGAGTACCTGCAGCGCCGGGAGAGCTCTCTGTGGGGGAGTGAGAGCTCTCTCCCAACGCTGGCGCGCGACCACACTCGCACTTCAAAGCGCTGCTGCAGGAGCGCTGTCAAGTTTTGAGTGTAGCCACGGCCTGAGCCGTGTGGCCATTACATCCCCCCCAGCCTGGGGGGAGGGGTTGGGAGGTTTCTGGGCACCCCCCAGCCTCCGCCTTGACCCCCCTTCAGCCCTGCTGGACCATCGCTCCTGTCACGCTGGGCTGCTCCCTGATCCCTCCCGCCGTCTCAGCGGGGCGTCTGGGGTTCACACGGGGCCCCTTTGCCTGGGTGCTAACAGGGTCCAGGGGTGCCCTCACCCTGGGGCAGGACGGGCAAGAACAGGTTCACCTCTGCCCGCAGGGCAGCGCCTGACTGAGTGGGAGCCCCCCAAGGGAAGAGACGGGGCCTCCTGGGACTCCAGCCTCCCACATACTGGGGCCAAACCCTCCTCTTTCCTCCAGGGGTGAATCCCCAGGGGTGGGTGGGGGACTTCACCCCACAGCCAGCACAGGGTGGGATGGGGGCTGAGCCCTATAACCATTCCTGGGCTGACCCAGCCCCCCCGACCCCAGGGAATTCACCCCCAGCCTAGCGGGGAGGGAGTCATGGGCAGGGGGCTGGGCCCTTCCCTCTGGCTGATCCAGCTCGGTGAGTGTCTGGGTGTCACGGGACCAGTAACTATAAACTCTTATCTCTGCCCTTTGCCCGTTGTTACAGCCGCTCCCTGTGATCTATGGAAAGTGAAAGGGAATTCGCTACGGGCCCTGTCAGGTGTGGAGATGGTGTCTCTGGGGGGATGAAGGGCAGGGACCATGGGGCTGGGGTGTCTCCTCATCCCCCTCCTCGTCCTCGGGGTGGCCGGTAAGTACAGACCCCCTGGTGTTCTGGGGGAGGGCAGGGCAGGGCCCCGGGGCTCCCCAGCAGAGTGAAGTCCCGGGGACGGGGCCTGGGTACATGTGGGTCAGTCACTGCCCAGCTCTGCCTGGCCTCAGCCGCCGGAGTGAATGCGGGAAGAAGCCCAGAGCTATTTGCAAAACCTCCCTTTGCTGCATTGCCCTGGCTCAGAGGGACCCCGTATGGGACGGTTTGGGAAGGAGAAGGGAGGGGTGTCTAGTAACTGATACACCCAGGGGAGCAAGAGCACAGACGGCACCTGCCCCAGGTACCCCACCATCTCCCCCTCCCTGGGGTACCAGATCCCATCACTGGCACGTCCATCCCCAGGCAGTGACCTCCCCCCGGCCCAGCCCTGCACCGAGCCCCAGAGCGTGATTTTCTCTTTCCCTGCACAGGTTCCCGGCTGCAGATAT